TAAGATGGTCGGTTGGTACAGCGAGTCACGGTTTTCGGATTCTCTCATTCGATGGCGTATGTTAGAATCTAATACTGAGTACAGAACATAGAAATCACAAATATAACGACTTTTATATAAAACCAAACAACAAATATATTAAATCAAATGTGTAGAAAATGGAGTTCTGGAGCAGCAAAAATTAACTACTCTGAATCCTGAAGCTTGTTTTTTTCGTCGCATCGCGTCAGTTATGTCACAAGCAATGAGGTACTGAGTATGAGAATATAGCCGTAACCTTTAGGTATGAGAATTACGAATTATTGTAATCAAGTATTTGCATTTTTAGTAAAAATTGAAACTGTTTCACTGTTTTTGAATTTTTCCTATAGTTCTTGAGTATTTAAGAAGAGTATAGTTACTTTTCACACTCTTGGAGACTGCTTAATTTTCGTCAATTTACGAATAAAATCAAAATTAGTAACGTTGATTTGAGCATTTTTCTCCAGGAAGCAACGACAAATTTTGAGAAATCGTAGAACTGTTCGATATTTACTATAGATGGCAGGGAGGGTCATGCCTGTACTTTCAAATGCAACCTCTGCTGCCTTAATCACGTCGCATGCATGTTTTAACTTCATCCATTCAATCACATACTGCAGTCCGCTATGGTCCTTCACATCACTGTGGTCCACGGGATTGTGTATTAGGTGGGGGTGCCTTTCTAAACCGCATTAGCGTAGCTCATGGGCTCCTAAAATGCTTAGTCATGTACGAGTGTTTGCGGAAGAGAAACCCATGGCCGCGCCGCTGCGATAGCTTAGTATACACTTCGGCTGTGACAGCTGAACACTAACCATGTCAGGCACTTGAATATTTATGAGACTTCATCAGGCGAGAGGGCACGATCTTACGAAATTTAACATTTTTGCTTCTAAATTTTCTTCTAATTATCAAAAGTACTTCAAGCTTAGACAATATGTTTTTTTAAGTATGCACTATCTGCTGGTAAACTCGCATTGGTGTGTTCTACTACATGATCAGTGTTGAGTGTAAGTTAGTTTCGACATTCTTAAAGCAATCTGAGTCTGCCAATGGATTACCCTAATGGATTATCCAAAACAAGATCACTTTGCTAGCAGTATACGTTGGATTTGTTAGGGTATAAACATTTCGATATTGGTATTTGCCAGCAATACTCGAAACTGTTTCATTGCATATTAGAAGAAGTAATACAAAGAATGAATGAGATGGAAATATTCTCCTAGAAGATAATTGGTTGCTACAAGCATATTTACTCTTTTATAACTTAAAAGGTAACCAGTACATTTGTTTCATTATCCTGTTCATTTCACCTAAGACACATAATGCATTTCAGATCCTGGCATTGGGATCACTTAGAAGTTATTTTCACTTTCAAAACATTTATGAAACATGGAATCTTCACACGGATACGATTAGTAATTACATATAAATTCGCTTAATTCCAAATGATTACATTCTTACAAATTGATTTATCTTCACAAAATTCAAAAGAGTGCTCACAAAAATCATTCATCATTGGAAACTAGACAAACAGGATAATGTTCTTTTTAAAGAAGCATTCGAATTTCAAAAGATGTTTTGAGTTAAATGAGAAGTGATGATGATAATATCGAGATTTCAGCTCCAAAGTTACAAATTCATTTAGAAATTGTTATTTTTTTCAAATAAATTTTACATCTAATTGACAATTGTTTTAGAAACATTAGTGCACTTGGGATGAATTGTTGATATAATGTTGATCTTAATTTGTTTTATTTTACTTATTCAATTTGTATTTGTGTAGATACAAATGACAATATGTTAATACACAAATTAATAAATAGCTATTGTTCCGCCCATAACACGTCCATAGCCCTCGCGTAAAGGCTGGCGGTCGCTCCCTCCCCCCGGAGGCGGCCACTCCCGCAGGGTGCGCCCGCCGCACCCGCGCCGCCGGCCCCTCCCCCAAACGGCGGCTCCCCACGCTTTACCGAAGGGCTGCAGCCTTCTCGCTTTTAACGCTACCTTCACTTGCGCCAGATCTGACGCGCGAGTACCACCGTGAGAGGCACAGGCCACACCGCCGGTCTAGGGCCTTTTCACTGAGCAGCTCCGCGTTCACAAGCAACGTTCGTGTTTTGCGCGTCGCGCACGTAAGCCCGCTGCCTTCGGCACGTGTATTTGTAAACCTGCCATCGGCGGGTACTACATCGGTACGGACAGACTCGAGTCACACCGTCAGTCACCTGCTGGCGAAACACTGTGTGTGCAGCAAACACACACTCCTGCTGTTAAGGCTGCTGCTGTTAAGGGCCAGGTCCGTGGTCAGGCTGCTGGACAGACTCTCCGACTAGCGAACTGTGTGGGAACTGCATTCCTGCTTCACCCGGGAGAGGAGCAGCTCTGAGGTCCACGCATGCCGCAGCCACACAGCATAAGGTATTCGGCAACGCCGTTTGCCCATAGACGTGTAGTGAGACAAACGTTCACTACGTCACCATGTGTAGTGCCCATCGACGTAACAACGAACATCCATTTTTTATAATTCATTTGCTTTCATTACTGTAAATTAACATTTCATTTATCATATCATCCCATTCACGTAGACTAGAAATATATTATCAATAAAACATATGTGCAATGAAATTCTTGTAAATTTGTCATCCTCCCTTCTTAACCAGCGCCATCCCTCTCCCCCCGGGGCACCTCACGGCCCGGTGCTGTGTATACAATACTTTATATAGAGAAAGGCCTAAATGATTCCTTTTCACCCAAAAACATATTCTGAGAAATTCTTTATAATAGAATTATACGTGTGAAAGTTGCCCTCGATCATTAGATAATTATTTAAGCATATGATCGTGTTCTCCAGATTACTGTTTGACGCCGTAAATGAGATTTAATATCTCTGCTGATAGCCTAAGTAAACTGGGTTGTCTTCCATTCAGAGAGAAATAACACACGTCTAACATCGTTACATGAAATTTCCCACTATATATTCATTTTCAGAAATTATTATTTTCGACCTCTCTACATGTTCTAAGAGTTTGTTACGTTCATTCTGAGACATTCTCTAGAAAGTCAATAAATTCACCTCTTTATATGATTATTCAACATTATTATAAATTAAGCAGTAATTACATTAAAGAATTTTGGATAACTTAAATATCATGAAGTAGGATCGTAGTTACTCGTAGTGGACTTTTTAGTGAATGATGTGATAGGAATTGTCTCCGTCAGGTTATAATGTGTAATTTGATAAGCAGTAATTTGATCCAAAGGAACGTTTTAAATTCTCGAAAAAATTCGTAAACCAATGAATTGACGGGTTCTCTAAGATTCCCTTATATCAAATATAAAACAAAGATAGATATACAAAGAATCTAAGATGATTTTCCAGAAACAAATTACACTCTTTAGTTTGGACACATTTTGGCATTGTTGAATCATCATGGGTGTTTATGCAAAGCAAACGACTAGTGTTGCAATACCAATGATATGACAAAAAATGGAACAAATACATCAAGAGTAAGCGTCCTCTGAAGAGCGGAGTAATGATGATAAATCAACTTATCTGTTATCGGTTACTGGGCTCGCGATTAATCGTTCAATGAAATTATATAAGTACTTATTTTATCCTGATCACACCCAACTGCAAAAATTGCAGGACTATTTGAACACGACATTCATAAATATGTCAATAATAATTGTCTCTTCAAGGCGTACGCCCATGCAATATGACTATCCCAAATGTACAAAATTGGAATAGCAAGGAAATTTCACACATATTCTGAACATCACTATGTGTCACTATGTATCTCTACCTATCACTAAGTGCATCGGGAGATAAATATAATCTATATTTAACAACGACGATAATATATGTTCCGGACAACACAAATGATAAGCGGTTAGATAAGCAGCTCAGATACAGTGTATACTGATGGGAGTCATGAAGTTACGTATGAAGTTCAGATAAAATATGCTGTACCATTTACGATACATATAAAGCCAAGTATTCGTTGAAGGAAAGTAGTAGAATCAAGAGTTTGATCAGCGATTCTTTGAGTAATTATCAAGAATGGCACCGAAGTATAAAATTATTTACTTTAATGTGAAAGCTCTAGGCGAGCCCATCCGCTACATTCTTTCTCATGCGGGAGAGGAATTTCAAGATGTCCGCGTTGAGGTTGAAAAGTGGCCGTCGCAAAAAGATGGTGAGTTTTAGAATTTGCACGAGCTATCTACGAACCTGATTGTGTTAGTAAAACCACAAATTCCTATACTTTTTTTGAGGGAGAGTCAGTGAACTTTTAAATAATTTTTAATTTATTCTTAATATCATATTTTATAGTCGTTAAAGCTCCTATTAATTATCTATTATTATTATTATTATTAATAGTAGTAGTATATAAACATTGAGATACTTTATTTACTACCTTAATAACTTATAAATTGTATTAATATTCTATCTGGAAACAAATTTAAATTCAAACAGTTTATATAACGCATGTAATTATCAAGCTCTATCTAAAGAAAAACAATATTTAATGAACATGCACTCTTAGATAAACACTTTTATTCATTTTTTCAATGTTAATTGCTAACTCACAGAAATGAAATAATGCTTTGACACGATATGAGTTCTCACATTGAAGTACCATGGTCATCCAGAGAATAAATGCAAAACATAATTAAAATTAAAACGCATTTAATTTCAGTACGAACGAAATGTAATCGTATTTTCATATGGTTATTCTCCGTCAGCCGCACAATGTAGTAAAAAATTTCTTAAAATAAGTTGTGGCAAAACGTTTTCTTTCCTCAAAAATACGGACCAATCCAATATGAATTTTGACTAAATGAATATATCTGTAATTATAACAATAGTAAATTAATTCTTCTGATATCGACGATCAGTGCCGGTGCCTGACACACAGATTTTTGGGACATTCTGAAATTCAGGGGGCCTATAAATCGGGTACACTAAAAAAACTTGGTAAAAAACTTGGTACTACTAACTTGGTATTATGAACACTTTAACATCACTAAACGTTACCAACTAATTACTAAACGTGATGTTATAAATACTTTTAGCGTAATTTTGGAATTTGCGGTACAGTTTTCGAATAAAATTTGCAATTAATGTAAGACGTATCACGAATTTATTACATTTTCATAGAAAAAAGATTAATTACCGTTATAGATAGCTTAAAGCGATTAAATAGGTGAAAAAATAAATAAACAAACATATAGTTTGCAAGTTTTATGTTTGAGGGGAAGGGGGAGAGAGATGCAGAGCTTAACTGAATTGCTGGAGATTCGAAATTGTTTAGTTTTAATGGCGAGTTCGAAAAATAAGACTCCTCTCTCTCAACTGAATATTTACCTTACGCAAAGCTTATTTCAAAGACCCTAATCATGACTCCGCCAAAGTGTTTCTGGTAACGTAAATGACATTTACGATAAAACATATTAACAAAGAACTTCATAAGAGTTTCATTTATGCTCACTTTCTTTGTAGATACACCTTTTGGGAAAATGCCCATTCTAGAAGTCGATGGCAAGAGAACGCACCAGTCAGCATCGATTTGTCGTTATCTTGGGCAGGAGTTAGGATTGGGAGGAGAAACTAGCTGGGAAAATCAAGAAATCGATTGTACTGTGGACACGGTTGTGGATTTGCGAATAGGTAAGAAAGAGATTCGATTCTTAGAAATGGCATTTCATGAAGAGGTGTGTGAAAATCTCAATATGTCATTTATTTTTCAGCTATTGTAAATGCTACTTATGGAGATGAATTTACGGAGAAAATGGAAGAAAGGAAAGCAAAACTTGTTAAAGAAACTGTTCCATTCTACCTTTCACGACTAAATGAGCAAGTGAAAAATAATGGAGGGTATTTTGTGAATAACAAGGTACGATTCAGAGAATTTTATATTATTTTTCCTAAGATAAATTAGTCCGTTGTTGAGGCTTCATTGAAGTAAACTGTAACCTGTTCAAAATCTTTCAACTATTTACAGTTAAAATGACGGAAATGGATTCTGTGCGCAAGAAAACGTGCGCAGATAATATTTTCCCTCCTACGTCACATACAGTTTTTACTGCTTTTTTACTGAATAAATCTAAATCTAACTCTAAAACGTTAAAATGAAGTTTTTGCGTTACTAATTATTTATTCCACAAACAAAAATACTTTCATATTAAATAAAAATAATTAAATTTTGCAAATGGCATTAAGTAAATATCATCCTAAGAGACACGTCTAAAGTAATTAAATTATACTTCGTGTAATTACGAAGGATTTATATTTAAAATATACAATGTTTAACACAAATTATGTTAAAAGAAAGTAATTATTTAACAAAATTGACGGAGCTTCTGATACTAGTTCCTGCAAACTGATTTTTTTTCTAAGCAACGCAAATATGTTAATGTCAATTACGTTCTGCTAATTCTAACACTTTTAACAAGTTAATTTTACCTAAACTTCTCTTTTTTCAAATAGCATGAAGATTTTTTTTATTTTTACTGATTCTTTAAATAAAATATACAAAGGTTATATTGTATGCATCCCCGCTGGTATTAAAATGAAGTAAAAAATGGGAACATTTTTAATATAGTTGAGTTGTAACTATATGTAGTAAATTAGTATTAGTTGCAACTTATAAATAAGGAGAAATAATATTTTTCAAAAACTCTATAAAAAGCAAGAAGGAGCTTAAGTTAATCACTAAATTCTAGAAGTCCTAATTTAATGAAAAAATAAGTAAATAAAATTTTTGGAAAGCAGTCAAAGTGAAATGTACTTTAAATATTGTAATCAGATAGAATGAACCATCTTGAAGAAAAATTATTGAACAAAAGTGTTCTTAGTTTAAAAGTAACTGAAGATCCGTAAAGCTCTGCCCATAAAGTAAAATTTTGTGAATGATCACTTACGTTTTTAAATTCCGGGCATATGGCAAAATCGGTGAATCCAAAGCCAATTTGCCAAACGGCCGACTGCGTCCTTCTTCAGGCAAATCTGCTTGGACGTATCATATCAAGGTGGAATGCGACATCCTAGCGCAGTCCATCTTCGCGCATTTCACCGAGAAAGTCGCAGTATTCATACGAATGAAACGTTGGCAACTTTGCTTAGGACGTAGCATCACCCTGACAACCAACAATGTATTGACTCTGGTCGCAGAAACTAACGTCTTTCTCTTACGTTTGTTTAAGCTTACTTGGGCAGATCTACATTTTGCAGCTATGGTCGAATTCTTTAACGCAAGCCTAGAGACATCTGATTGCCTTGCTGATTACTCTCATCTCAAAACTCTCGCGGAAAAAGTCTGGAATCTACCAAACATCAAAGCCTGGAGAGAAAAGCGCCCCAAAACCAAATTTTAAATGTAAATTTAGAAATAAATGCCTTTACTGTCCTCAACTATGTTTACATTATTACTATTTAATATTAATTTTATTTGATAAAATTTTAAATCTAAAGAGCAAGGACTTCTATTTTTTGAAACAGAATCCGCTATAAAAAACGAATTGGAACCTGATTAAAAACTGTAATATCATGGTAATATAATCAAATTACTGTTTTAAATATTTATTTAAAGAAGAAACTTTTTCCTGTCTATACGTTTTACCTATCAAGATCAATTCATCGCATTGGATCACATAAATTGAATTCACAAATTTAAAAATCAATGAACAATGAGCAGAGTATCTACTTATAATTGTTTTCAACATTTAATCTAGTGGTTCAAAACACACACTTTCTCGCATTATTTGAAACTTTCTCAATATTCGAAAGTTCAGAGGGATCGATTCAAATTTGATTTGCGCCACTTTTATAAGCATACTTTGCATTATTTGAAAAAAGTGAAAGAAAAAATGGAAACCATTTTTGAGAAAACCTTTATTTTCAAATTGCCTCTTTTCTTGCAAAATTACGCAAAAACCATTCATATTTTGAAAAAAATGTTTATAATATCATTTAAAGATTTGACTTTGAAGAACGAATTTCGTTTCGGATTTCATTACGAAGAAAAATCTCTACCTTGAATATAGAAATTGTACAAAGACGCGGAGAAAATGTTTAAACGTGTGATAATATAATGCAGGCAATATATCTGTGAACTCCTATAACTTTCACTGTACCTTTTGTTGCGAAAACATGGACAATAATTTCCTTCTCGCCAAAAACGTTACTAGAAACAAAGAAGTGATTATCGTTGTGAGAAAACTAATCACTGGTCAGAGAAAAAAAACAAAAAAATGTGTTCATGAAGGACGTTGAAGGAAATAAACATTTATTTGCAGAAAATGCAATATGAACACTTTTATCCTACATGTTTCACGTAATTCCTCTGTGTCTGTCAGAACAATTGGGATATGTTATTTTCTTTCTTCTTGGGCCTTGTCACAAGACTGTGTTATCTGCATACAATATAAATAAACTCTGTTATCTGTATATAATATAGACTGTGTTGTTCGTACACAATATAAATGGACTGTGCTATCTGTTTGTAATATAAGTAGACTGTGCTATCTGCATGTAACGTTAATATACTGTGCTATCCCCTGCCTGTTGAAACTTTGTTCATTTAAGTCTACGATACGTCTGCCTACGAGTTCCGTTGTCGTTGTTCCTGAATCGGACAGCGGATTTTTCGAAAATCAAAAGTAAAAAAACAATTATATGTGTTTATTCATAATAAAATAATACGTAGTTAACACTATTACTAAGGAATATTTATAAACATATTTCGAAAAACATCTTTATATACTAATAGGTTAAAGTTGAGAGCGACAGGGATTCACGGCAACAATAACATATATGTGGGATGTACATTATAAACCCAATTCACAATAGTTTTTCGTAACTACGTTAATAAAATCTATCATTTTTTTACAAATTATGAACGGGAGAACAATAATATATAGTTTCGCTTTTTTGGCTCGCAAACATCTATAAACTGTTAATATTAGCAAGAGACAACGCATCTGGGGTCCACTTTCTTTCATTTAAAACAAAAAAAACACATCTGGTAGAGTAGAAAATACAAATTTCATTCTCTACAAATACCCTAAGTGTTTTAAATATAAATATTGTTTACTATTTACAAATGTGAAGTATTTTCATGAAAATTGGAACTAGTACAAATACGCGCTCGTATACAATACTTATAAACGAACTTTCTGCTATTCCAGCAAAATAGTTAAAGAAAAACAATTACAACCATTTTCCGCAAAATTCTCAACAGGGGGTTCATGTCGAGTACCAAAAAAAAAAAATAATTATATGAATGATCTTGTTATTGTTTAGGGAAGAAAGAAAATATTATGTAAGGCAAATGATCTGCAACGAATAAATTAAAAAATAAAATAAAATACATAAATACTTAGTAAGTAATTACGCTTTCTCCTTTTGTTAACTTGACAATTAAACGAGCGCCACATTGCTAATGTGACACCCTTCCATAATCCAATCGCTGACTAAGTAGAATGCGCTCGTTGGCTCTTTTGCAATGCTAGTGTTTCGCGGATGATTAATTGTTTCCATACACATCAACTACTTTGGTAAACACACCCTTAGGTCTAAGGCAAATGGGTCTTACGGACCTAACGGATCCCGTCAGGTCCGGCGCCAACATACTCGTCGGCTTGTGGGATTTTTACTCTCCAGGTATCTCTCCCATGGGGTACCACCCAACGTCATAGCAAGCTGTAATCTCGATTCCCGACTTTTGGGGAAGTGTAGTGTATGAAAGGACGCGCATGCAAAGGTAGAGGTGGTGTAATGGATGAGAAAGGACATATCGCGCGGAATTTCTGGCATTTATGTTAGCGTACTGTTTCGGTATTTGCCTGGTATATACCGGAAAAGTAACTAGTAGTGCCACAGGATAGAACAGGCCTATTAGTTTTATATTTACTTTGGTCTCGGCTAGCTATTCGAACTTGCCACATACTCCTACCTGCTGCCATCTATGTCTGCCCAAAGTACATTGTTTTGAGATTTTGTTTAATTTTTCCATTTCCTAATAGTAGAGCGGAAATATTATTTTAGGAATAGTAAAGAACACTAAAACCAAGTTCTAAATGGCAATTTTCTTCGAAAAATGTTGAGCCGTTTTTAAGAAAATAATGGTTAAGAGTTACAGTAAATTCGAAATTCGAATCACTTTTTCACAGACAATTTTTGAATTTTCGAAAAACTTCATTTGAAGTCGTTTAAAGCACCTTAAGTCACAAATGCAATAATGTTCACAAATTGCTGGAAATTTTATATCACGAGAGTGAGAACTCGTTCAAAAAAAACCATTTGTGTAATTTAAAAAAACAACAAAAAAACTCTCACATGCATTTACGACATATTAAAGAGTGCAATTAGCACTATCCTTTGAACAAGTTTGAAGACAAAAATTTGACCCGTTTTTGAGAAAATGGAGTTTGAGCGTTTCTAATAATGTGGAATTTTGAGCTAGCTTTGCCAAACTCCGGTTGAGTTTTCAAAAAGCTTTATTTGACATTATTTAAAGAACATGTGCTCATAAATATAATAATGTGAACAAATTGCCATTAGTATAAATATTAAGGATGAGAGAGACAAGTCAAAAAATTAATTTTTATAATTTTTGCAAAAAAACAAAATAGAGCAATATGACGTTTATGTCATCTAATAAGGTGCATTTCGCAAAATCTCTAACAACAGTTTAAATAAATTGCAGCCGTTATTGCAAAAATCTTGTTATTGTAATTTTTTTTAAATTGCACATATTGCACGCAATATTGCGCGAAAACTACTAAATGTTTCAAAAAATTTACATGACCTTAATGAAAGAACTAATTATGGACAACAAATTTAATTTGTAGAAAAATCCTCTATCGTCAATTTTGTATTTGTAGTAAGACGCCGAAAAAAATTCAAACTTCTGCAATTTTCGAAGAGTTAAACGTGAAAATCGGACGTATGCCACCTTTATAAATGTATTTTACTATACTTTTAAAAGAAATTTAAAAAATAAAATTTGGAGCCATTTTTGAGAAAATGTTGAAAATGTCCTAGGAATTTCATCACTGACGACGGACGAACGTTTAGAAAATAAACACTTTTTCGGTTTCAGGGGACCCCAAAACGTGTATTTTCGATGACATCTTGAAATCGATTTTCCGCCGCATTACTTAACTTTTCCTATACTACGTATGTTACTCTGTGCAAAATATGTAAGTTCCTTTTGAAAAAAACAAAAACAAGTTACCTCATAATCTCGTAAAATAAAAGTGATAAAATTGAAAATAATTCATGCATTGATTATAATAATAATAATAATAATAATAATAATATTTATTTGGCTAAAATGGGCTGATTGCCAGGTGGTAGTCACAATCCAACAGTTTTACAATATATGAACATTTATAATACAAAAACAATTTACCATATAAAAACAATTTACCAATACACTTCTTTCGAGCATATACCACTCATATATAAAACAAACACAGGACCTGTATCATCTATGCACATATATTCACCCCTACACACCACACATATTTATACACACACACATTGTCATACATAACATAAACACACATTCCATACATGAATGCTCACCTTCTCACTTCCACACATAACCACGCACACACACACTTGCACTACATATTATACATACCTACATTAAATGAAGAACATATATTTTAGTTACACACTAGTAAACATGCACATAGTACATATACTATAAAAATAACAGTTACACAATGTTGATTTACAAAATGAATAATTCCCTACGACGGATCTCTACATCTACTTTTTATTTTGCATTGTGATCGTTGTCTCCCAAATCTTTTGGAGGGGAGTAGATCTTCGTATTGTCGTCCATAGCATGTGACTTACTGTACGCCTTGAAGAGGCAGCACAATCTGGCTTTTTTTCTTCGCAAATTAGCCCCATTCCCTCATGTACTTTCATGAAAACTGCATTGCACTAACTTCAATTGTTCCAAAATTGTAGAAAGTGCTAAATGTACGTGACGTACCTGTAAATTATATAATAAAATAATTTAATAAACTAAATTTGTAAATAATAAATAAAAGATTAATACAATTTTGATGTCCGCTTGAGAATTTCAAAATGACTGCCTTTTTGTACTCTCCCATCCTTATTTAGATTTTATAAAATTGATTTGAATTGTTTTCACGACTTTTTGTTTGCCTGTCCGGAGTTATTCTGCGACGACTAAACTGATTTCGATGCGGGTTTCATTCAGGGGTTGAGTGTTTTGTTGGACTAACTACTTTTATTTACAATTTTTTATTTTATCTGATCTAAAAAGAACGGTCGTTAATTTGATTTCATTCAAATCTAGAGTTTTATTCTGATCTTAATGAAATTTAACTCACGTGATCTTCTAAACAAGAGAAACTTTACTGAATTCATGAGATTTTGTACTCTTATCTCCCTTTTCTATCTTCGAAAGCAAAATTCATAAGTATATTCTTTCAGTTTCTCCGCTAATATTTTGAAGAAGGTGGGTAAACCGACGAAACTGAATGTACACTTTTATAAAATTATTTAAAAAATGCATTTTAATTAATTTGGATGGAGTATTTAAGCTCGGAGTAAGCGAAGATAAAACGTATTACTACTGGAAGTTCGCGGGGAGTATACAATAGTGCACATTGGTTTACAGCGACCAGTAGCACAGCGACAAATGAAGATGGTAGCAACGATCGAAGCGAACGTAAATTGGCCGGGCAGGTGAGGCATAACGAGGTAAAGAGAGACAGGGAGAGCCGGGGCGTGAGGTTTAAAGCACGAGGGACGGGGACAGGTCAGGGCAGAGCAGGGCAGAGTGGGGTTGATGGATATTGCGGGGAAGCACTGTAGATGAATTAATGTATTTTTCTGCAATATACGATTGCTATTAATAAATATCCGTGCAACACAGATTACTTCAGCTGGTCCATAATATGGGTTCAGCAGAGAAAATCGCTGTTGCCTGTGAATATTGTTTTATGAAGCAGCCTCTTTAGCATTTATGCGTTAGTCGCTTTTGAGTTGCAGTGAATTGTTATTCCTCAATAATACTTTAACCGGTCGACAAGTGCTCAATAAGAGGAGTTACTTAGAAAGGTAACAAAACATGATTCTTTGAATATATTGAATATCCTCAGCCACTAGTTTATGCCCACTTTTCAATCTTCCAGATTCTGGGCTAACTTTGGGAGGCCAGAAAAAAATGTGTATGATTTTACAGGTTTGTTAAGATAAAACACGATTTCACAGGCCAAAAACCACACGCAGTCTCATAAAAGCAAAACGACGAGAACTTTTGTCAATTTCTTGGTACTGCAACACCTTGTAATGTAATGTTTTTTATTAATTTGATCCCTTCCACGACTTCGATTTTTTGGCGCATCAGCCCGTGTACGCGCCGGGGCCTTCCAGCGACGTCGCGGCTATGATTGTACGTGTGCTTAGCACCAAGACATCACCACGATCTATTCTGGTCTTCTAAACCTGAGAAGTGAATTGCCATCGTCACACAGCAACATATATTGAGACATTGGAAGGAAAATGCACACTATAATCTATCCTGACTGGGAATCGAACCCACGGTCGCGCCAAGTAAGCACGATGACCAATGAGCTAAGCCGCCAGGTAATCCCTTCCACACATACGCCAAAAACACGAACATACTAATTATAATAACTCTCAAAATATAAAGACTCAAAAATAATAGTGAAATACGATCTCTCATGTATGATATTTTTATAATCATAGTAGATGAAACACGAGGTAATTTTATGCATTGCACTTTGTTCGTTACCGGGTATAACTGGCGCACCGCCAGTCACTGCAGTCAGTGACGATGCCTAAGGCACCTTCTCACCAAATACCAAATGGAGCTAATGGAGCGTTCGCATGGTTGTGAGCAGCAGTGGTATGTTTTTTGCAAGGTAAGTATATTTTCTGATGCAAATGTAGGAGCTTGTAAAGAGGTTACCTTATAGATTCTACTATCTTAAAGGGCTTTGAACAGAAAGCCGTAAAGTGATTACCGTAGGTTGAAAAGATAATGAAACACGCCTCTGTGGTTAGTTCACGCAATTTCACTGCCTTACCAAATTCAATTTTTCATCGTTACCGATCGGCCTCTTGACTAGACCCACATAATTGATTTAAATGTTACCTTTTGACGACTCTAGGATTTTAGAGCACGGGCGCATGCGCACGAGAAGCTCTGCCACCTCAAAAGTTCCTCTGCGCATGCGCACGTTCGCTGAAACTCAGAAATGGTTTGACAAAAGGAAGAGCGCAAATTGCGTTTTCGTCAAGCGAAGATGACTGCAAAAACAACTAATAAGAAGAGACAAAAAAGAGACAAAAAATACTCGCAAAAGTGAATTGGTCCCTTTTGCACCTTCTGGAGAAGGTAAGAAAGCGAACATTAAAATAGATCGATCGCAAAGATCAATGAAAAAAAGGAACTAGTAAAAGTTACAACAAATAAACTAGGTGCTACATTAGCAGTTCTTTCTCGGATTATTTGTAATAGTAACGAAATATTATAATACAACTTGAATCTGCGTTTCTAATATGCCAAAATATTTGATCACGCTTAAATTCGAGCGTAAATTCTCAGGTTCAGCAATTAGTTCGCTATTGTCCACACCAATCGTCTGAGTCGACATAACAATCATTCCGATGGTTTTAAAAGAAAGTTGAACATTTTCAATTTTCGAAAATTCAGATTTTCTAATGATAATCGAACGAGTTCACTAAAAATAGGTAATATTTGAAGATTTGAGGAAAATCTTGCTTTTGTAATTTTTAAAAAATAGTTTTTGTTTCACTCATATTACGAGAAAATTACTGGTATTATCAAAAAAAAATTTTCGTCATTATTTAACGACCTAATTCCGAAGAACATATTTCATTCAGAAAAATTCTGATCTTAAATATTGCAGTTGTATAAAATTCTAAAAAGTTTTAATATTTTGCAGTTTTAGAAAATACAAAGAATTCGAAGAAACTCAGTCTTGAACCATTTTGATAGTGTGCTTCACATTTCGCTCTAGTTGAGGGGGAAAACATTACAAAACGTTGGAGTCCGACTGATATTTTGCCGAAAATCACTTGTTCAGTATCTAAAACCTAAAATGTGAACTTTAATGCACAACGTATTAGAGAGTAGTTTGCCACTAGTAAGAATTATCAACTTTCTCTCTATCAGTTTTTCTGTCACAATACGAGTTTTTCTGTCAAGAAATATCACTTTTCACTGCAGTATTCCAATACTTTCACTATAATACGTTAAATGAGTTTCGAGAAAGAGAAATATCTATGCTTAGGATAAAGACAATGAAGATTGTTTTTGTATTTACTGTCTGAAATCTATTTATCACCCTAAAAAGGGCAAAAATGTGTTGAATATCTGCAATTCAAAATGTGCGTACACGAAAATTTCGGCCTAGAGAAACGTAGTCCTTTGTTTCTATAGCAGTTTCGATGAATATTCACAAAGTATACTTTATTGAGTTTACAATTACTAATGACACACTAATTCCGATAAGCATATTCATATTTTTAGTCTCTAAAATTATTTTTACTTGTTTTGAAGTTCATTCCATAATGTTTGTACAAACAATAAGACCTTATGGTTTTTATTGACTACTAGGTTATTTTATGATTTTCATACTCCTACCTTATACCCGAGGTATGTTTACACACTCGCCCCGATTCTATTTCAATACTTTTACACAATACTTTTGTAAAATAATTATATATTTTCAATATTTTTGAAATGTAAAATATAAAATCACTGTACTTATAGAAAGTACTTGAAAGACCGCTTTATAGAGCAAAATATTTAAACATTTCAATATTAAAACGTAAAAAGCTGTTCTTATAAACAAATCCACGGAAATGTGCTCTGTAAATATTAATTGACATAATGTAACTAAGTTTCAAAGTATTACCGTATGAACATGATATAGCACTTGTGACGGTGTTATCATTACTGAAGGGGCCGGTCTGATAAGCAATCCTGGACTGGTAAACACTGCCGAAGGCGTGATTACACGAAACAGATAAGAATGTGTCTACTCATTTACGATACTATAAATATAAAGCGAAACGTTCGATTCAGGGGAGCAGTCTTTTGAAGCCTACCGTACGAGTGATACGCACTGTCTGCAAAAATGGCGCCGAAATACAAAGTCACTTACTTTAATGTGATGGCTCTTGGCGAACCCATTCGCTACATCCTTTCTCACGCAGGAAAGGAATTTGAAGATGTTCGCGTTGAGAAAGAGCAGTGGGCAACGCTTAAAAAAGGTAAGGGGGCTTTGTTCAGTGTATATACGCAACCGTGAACAAAATATTGTTTCGTTTGTTTATTTAAATACCACTGATTCAGGAGTAATAGCTTTTTTAAATAACGGAGCAAGTACAAACACTGGTACGCATTGATAACAGCTATTCTGATACCGCTATCATTAAGAGCATCGTATTTTCTTTATTAAAACATTTACAGTATTTTATTGTTCTGTACCACTGTTTACAAGTTGTATTCGTTTGTGACAACTTTCTTAACATTGTATTTCTTTTACATTCTCACTGAAATTTTGAATAGTTTTCACTAAATGTGGAATCAAGAGTCAAAATTTACAAACTTCTTCTTTTCTGTAAATAATGAATTTGTTTTAAAAATTGCGTTTCTTCTCACGAATGAAAACAGCTGAAATAATGGCAGTTAAAATGTGAAACAACAAACCATATGAAGGTGGTTCTCTTAACATTATTATTTTTACAATTATATATCATTGATAGGAAATATCTTGTAACATGATATTACTTGAGTAGAACTCTTTAAAAAATGTGACTTGGATTTCATTATCGAAACCCCATTACACAAGTACATGTTACTTTACGTAAGCTACTTTACCTTTGTTAGATGTAACCGACCTCATTGTTTATATTTTGTTTTTTCATGAGCAACGTATTATAAGTCACTATTAATGTATTTCCTTTATTTTCTAAACCAACTCAAGCATTAAAATTAAGCTTAAATGTGTTTTCTCATAACAGAAAAACTAAATAATATTCTGTTATTTCCAAACTGTCTCTAGGTAATTGTCAAGTTCTTTCGACGGAGCAACAAACATCTTCAATTTTTCATATTGACGAACCGCGTCAATGGTTAGCGGCGATATTATTGCTTGTAACAAAAATTCAATACGACATTGTAGACATAAAACGAGAGCTAGAAAATTTCAATTTAATTATTTGGATCATTATAATACTCTAAGCGCATCTATTATACTCATTTAATTATTGAATGTTCATACACCAACCGCAAAACAAAGTTTTCTATACGTATTTGCACCATTTCTATTCTCAATTCCACGTACTTGATGAAATATTTTGAGCTTATAAATGTCTTCGTTTTCGTTTATTATGGTAACCTTTAATGGCACTTTTTTTTGTAGATGCACCATTCGGAAAGATGCCCACTTTAGAAGTTGATGGCAAAACGGCACACCAGTCCATATCGATCTGCCGTTTTCTTGCCAGGGAGTTCGGATTAGCAGGAGAAAATAACTGGGAAAGTCTCCAAATCGACGGCGTCGTTGATACGATCGTCGACTTGCGCATTGGTGAGTGATGACTTGATATGATTTTAGAAGTAACGTTTTCATTTCACTGAAGAACGTGTGCATAAAAACTAACAAAAATTCTAACAGCTATTGCAGATACGATGCACGCTGACGAAGCTACTAAAGCACAGAAGAAGGAAAAACTTATAAATGAAACCCTGCCGTTTTACCTCTCACGACTGGACGAGCAAGTACAAATAAATGGAGGATATTTTGTGAATAATAAGGTATGCTTACTCTAACGCTAAAGTTATTAAAAAATATGTAGAGAACTTTTTAGTGATAAAATATTCTACACATAAAATTGGAAGATCTGTGATTTCAAAATACCTCCCTTTATGTAATCTCAAATGCTTATGAAAAATCACTTTAATGATTTTAATGATTTTTGCTTTTTGGTTATTTTTCCGAGCTAGTTTCTAGAATGGAATACTTAAGAAGAAAAACAATATTATCCGTCATCTTAGAAAACGTAGTAATTTCAAAAAAAGAATACTTATTAATGACCGAGAAAACACTACCTTTAAGAAAGCTCCCAATCAAATTCGGATCAGATGTCTCAGAGATTACTCTGGACAGACCGACAAAAATTGTAAAAGCAATTGCATTAGCTTATTTATCATGTAAATAACGTAATTAAATTGAAAATTCGGCTATTTTGGAATCAGAGACAATTTATTTATATAGAACATAAAAACATATGATCTCCTCTACTTTTTCAGCTATCTTGGGCAGATCTTCATTTCGCAGCAACAGCCGAGCTATTTAAGGGTGGTTTGCAGGCTGATTACATAGCTCAGTATCCTAATCTGAAAGCACTGGCGGAAAAAGTTTACAATTTACCTAATATTAAAGCCTGGAGAGAAAAGCGTCCCAAAACACAATTTTAAATGTACATTTACTAATAAAAATCAATAAATATATTACTTTTGTTGTTATTTATCTACTTATCAAGTTAAATATTCCTCAGGATGTTATTGGCAATATATTAAAGCATATTCTTATTCATATTCAATGTCACGAAATAGTCGTCTTGGACACTTCCGACTTCCTCATATGCTCCTTTTATCCCCCTCTTTAACCTCCGAAACGGTATTTTAAATGACAGGATTAGATGAAGGGATGCGGTAACAGTTGATAATGTTTAGAACAATAGACATTATCAATTCGTCACATTGGTATATGATATCATACAAATGCATACTTGTTTTGGAAGTGTGCATAAGAGAAGTGTTCAGGTTCTAAAATGGTGCGAAGAAAATGGTTTTAAAATTTATCTAGAATACTTCAATGTTATGGTTTTATGAGATATGGGTTTCTCAAATCGCGACCGCATACTTTTTTAGTCAATTTAAACTTCTTTTACATTTCCCATTATTTTATACACTTCGCCTAGATCGACACGAAATCTTTGCTTTTCCTCACTAACACTTGGAAAAGCTTTGTTTCGTCACTGTTTGCTACGTGTACTTAGTCATCAATTTCACATTGCAAGTGTGCTTCCTTTTCCATTATACCAAAAACCAAATTCATTTATAAGGTATGAATACACTTTCGATCATTTTTGTATCAATCACTTGTATTTTGTCTTGTAGATTTTTCACATACCCCAGAGCCACTTTAAACAGTATGCTTCCTACCTCAATTCACTTGGAATACAAAATTATGCTTTTATTGTCCTCTGCTTCATGATACTTCACTTCACATGTTGGAAGTTTCTGAGAGCCCCTGGTATTTGCATTCGTTCCACATACGCCCTTTATTACTTTTCAAGGGGTGACATCCAAAATTGTACGCATACATACGAGGTACGTACATACATATATAGATACATTCGTATACCTCATACAATACGTCAAAACAGTGTAAATTATATGCCGTTAATTTTGTAAATAATAATGTTTTCTTCAAATCAAATATAACATAGAATGTGCCCCCTGCTATGTTGCTTAAAACTCTTCCTTCCTTAGTCTGGGACTCGCAAGTCCAGTTCAACCTGAACCTTTCATTGTCACAAGTATCAATGTTTAAATTCATGATTCACTACAGTAAAGTATTGGAAACGTTTTCAGTTAAAAAAGGATTAAAAACGAACGTTTGAATTTCATCAATTTACGGAGCGTTATTGTTTGGGAATTTGGGAAACAATGTCAGGTAGTTTTCCTAGTATTTATCTTTTCTCAGTAAATACAAACACGTGTGTAATTATCTCATTATTTCTCATGAAAAAAGTCGCTAATAACGAACAACGGTTGTAAAGGTTGCACTCTGTTTATAACAAATTCATTATTGTTTTATTTCAAAACATACTGAAAACACTGTCTTTATATAGTATGGAGTTATCTAAAAAAGTCAATTTTGGACTTCCCCCATTTCTGCTCTGGTCACTCTTTGAACGGGTAGATTCATTCAAATATTCGCAGAACATAACATTCACCGTGTATGCGCCAGTAATAGATTCCAAATAGTGAAGTAAACTGCGTGAAGTGAGAAAATGACTAAAAACGAACCTTTAACTTTCATCGTTTAACGAAGAGATATTCTTTCAAAATGTGGGAAAGTATGTCACGTCTTTTTCTAAGTAATTTATCTTTTCTCTGTAAACACAAAAAGTATTCCAATGAAGTACACAAGACACTAATTTAGCCAGGAATTTGTGCAAAAGTAAATAGAAATTATATATAATTGTAATGTGAAAACAACTGAAGCTTTCAAAATCTGTATGAGTAATACAATTGAAAATCACATTGAAGAAAAGCAACATGGTTATTGATCGCGCAACTTTTGTTGACCGATGACTTTTCTTCCCCTCTCTGGAACGATAAACAGTAGAAGGCAAAAGCTCGCAGCGAGCACTGATGACATTCCAAAAACATCTTCACTGGTGCAAAATATTTTCTGTTGAAGATGACAACTTCTGTCCGTAATGTTCTCCAAAAAATATGAAGAAACGACCAAAGCAGGTGAATATACATAACAGGAGCTATCTCGTAAGCCTGAGAAAATTAGAACGCAAATAATTAATTGCGAAGGCATGACTGATTCTCCAGAGATTGGCATTGCTTCATAAAATCTAGTGACCGTTTACATTACTAATACCAGCCCTCTCTACTCGCATTTCTTCAATCAATCGGTCATGAAAATTTGCGCAAGTTATATCAGTCAACTTATCTTTTACCAAATAATATATTCGTCATTTTCAAGCAACTCAAATATATAAAAATTAACCTTATGTGTATTAACAAGGGGTATACACATTGGGGGGATTGTTTTAGGGAAACACAAAATATCGATGGCAAACTGTACTTAATATCAGTGGAAAAATAGTTGATATAAGGGTTAAAGTTCGGTAATCGTTAGTGTTATTTTTATCCTTGTATGAACAACTGAAGAAATAGGTTTCAATTGTTTCTATCAAAATATTAAATACAAACTTCTTTTTTTAAATTAAAACTCCTAAATATTATTTTCTTGTGCATTCACTACTCTCAGTAAAAAATAAATGACACATCTTCGGATGATCCGTAGTAGTTCTTGATTTAAGTGTCATTCGCAATGACTCTGCATATACTTATCACTGTATGACCATTTTACAGAATAGCACTATATGTGGTGAAGTCATTCCGGAAAAGTTAGTGGATCTGCCTGATAAACGTTCCAGGACACGGAGTGACAGCCGTTGTGTTGACGTGAGTGCAGATAAAAACGTGTTGGCTCACTCGCCTTACAATATAAAACCGAGTGCCTGTTGCAGGGCATTAGTCGTTCAACTGACACCAACAAGTTTCAATTCGTTTGCAAGGATGGCGCCGAAATATAAAGTTACTTACTTCAATTTGATGGCTCTTGGGGAACCCATTCGCTACATTCTTTCTCAAGGAGGGGTGGAATTTGAAGATAATCGCATTGAGAAAGAGGAATGGCCAACGCACAAGAAAGGTGAGTGTAATGGAAGCAGCATTCAGAATCAGATGTTTTTATTGCAGGAGAAATCTCGACCATGACTAAAACGTAAACTATGCTATTTTCCAATTTTTTTGCTGATGTTTTCTTGGATTAACATTATTATCATTAATAAGTAAAATTATTTCCAAAAAACTTAGTATATTATTTAGCAAATATTTTACAATATACATGTTTTGTTTGGTTTTGTTTTGTTGGTTAGACACTTCGAAGGCAAAGTGCTGGAATTTTATCCATAATGGAATGAAACTCCTAAAACATATAATGTCTCCAAGGAAGTTATGAATTTTAATAAGTGAACTCATTACGATTTATTTCAACCTAGTGCTCTAATAAATTTGTCACTAGTCAATATTTATGTATCGTAGTATATTTATCAGTGTTATTTGTACTAAAAATAGCTATAGAAGGTCATTTTTAATAATAAAGATTCGGGAACTGTGGTAACATTTCATAAAGAGGTATCACATGCAAACTTGAAAAAAAACTTTCAAAAATTAATTTAAAAAATATATAGCTGACACCTTTAGAAAACAGTGCTATACTTGGTATTACTTTAAGATATAATGTTAATTAGTTTGCAGGTAACTGTGTAGTAACAAATGACATTTTGAACAATCAATATTCCATTAACACTACCATAACATCATAACGTATATAATTACAAATCACCTTCAAGAATGTTATAAATTATTAAGATTTTTATTTTGAATTATGCAATTATTATAAATTCTTTACTTTTTGGCTGTTTATCAAACAAACATTTAAAGCCATTTTTAACAATAAAATATGTCATTTGCTCATAAATTTAATCTACAAGCTTGTAAACATTACAATAATTACCAATTTTGATTATGAAAAAATCAACTTTACACAGAAATTACTTCTCAGTGTTAATGAATATAAGCATTAAAACAATTAAGCTTGAATAGCACAATATCTGTCATAAAATGCAACACAACGCTATTGCAACATTAATTCCATTTGTCACGAATATGTTACAATAAAATGTCCTTGCACTTACGATTAGTCGCGTATAAAATACTAATAATTCCCTTAATTTCTTAAGAACTTTATAATATTTTTTTCAATATCTTTCAATATAAACGTATTATCGTAATTCTTATACTTCCGCAATAACTTTCACCATCTATTATTTCTTCCAAACGGATTTGGTGTGTCTGTAATGTGTCTTATCTTTAAAGAATTTAATAATGCCCTGAAACACAATGGGTTATAACCAAGTAGCAGTGTTTTAAAAGCCGACAGATTCTGGTATTATTTGTAATGTTACCGAATTCAATTCTCGTTGAACTCATACGAATATTTTGTAGATTATCTCGATTCCAAACCTATTTACAATCAGCAACTTGCCATTTTACTTGCATATCCCCTCTTGCATCTGCAAGTGTTCGCAACGTCCAAAAATGTCTTCTTTGACTGGAATTTGAATTTGAGCTAAATGGTAACGTTGAGTAAAATCAACGTGGTAAGTGCTTTACAATCCCGTTACCTTCAACATGTTACGCCAAAGGCACGGATACACAAGGACTACGCTATAAGGACACTTGTACAGCTGAGTTCCAGACGCCTCCGTAAAAGCGTAACTGCAATGTTATTTAAATTCGAAAGATAAAATGAAGATTTGTTTGTAATGCTCGGGTATTTCACCGTTTGTTCGTCCTTCTCCAACACGAGAGAAATTATTGGTGAGTCTTCGAGTCCTATTTTTTTGGCTCTCAATGTTGATAGTAAATTTTGACTCCCATATTTGACGTTAAGTGTTATCATAACTATTGTCTCGTAATATACATCCATTGCTCCCTGACGTAAACTTTCAAATGAAGGTCGCAGCATGATTGCCTAAACGTTATCTGTGCCTCCGATGCAGCCTCTCCCGGTCAGCCAAGTTGATAAATGCCTTCAACTGCAAACGAACATTTATGTTTTACATGCCAATCTAATAAAAATATATAATATGTCAAAAATTTTAAAAAAGACCAAAAGTGACCACGCACCAAACAAGCCGTTTACGCCTCACTACATACCATAAGATCTATGACGGAATATTAAACTTCGCTTGACAATTAGGCAAGATAGATTTAAATGCGCAATTAAGATATGGTCACTGTGTATCTTTTGCCCTTCGAAAATCCACTCCCGTCACCTGGGATTAAACCTGCGTTCTTGGTGCTGAGAGGTCAACAAACTATCACTCATCAACGACAGAGGCGCGCAATGAAAATGCCACTTGTTCCACAGAGTTCAGTGTATTGTTCTCTACTTACACAAAATTTCTGTGCCTCTGACTCGGCAGCGATTTTGAGGTCGTAGGTCAGCAGCAGTCTGGACCGGAATTCCAGCGACAAGCTGTTCTGATAGGTAGTTTTTTGTAGTTTCACTGAACAACCCAAGGAGAATGCCGAAGAAATACCCTATCAAATGAGGCACGGACAGTTCGCGATCTTTACTTGCTCGTCTATTACTCGCACACACAGGTACTACACTACTACATAAGTCGGGAGATCAGTTAAGAGCTTAGAGCTCGTTCCGACTGAGACAGTGCATCACGATAGGGAAATACCTGGAGGAGAAGATCCCCAAAAATTTTTTGTAAACGCTCCTAAAACGTCTTGTTCCTCTTGTCTTGAAGCCCCCCCCCCCCAAAAAATAGTGAGACCAATGTTGTTTTAAAACGACCATAGATAAATCTTAAAAAAATAAAAAAACGTTATGTTTTCACCTTGAGTTCGAACAGTTCGATCGAAAAGTATTCGTTTTGGAGAAAATATTGTGTACGATTTAAGTGCAAGTAGTGTTCACAGAGATAAATGAACGCTCAGACGTTTTTGCTAAAAATTTAATTTCCTATAATTATGGACATGTATCACTAAACTTTATAATATCCTTTGTAGATACACCTTATGGACAAATGCCCGTTTTAGAAGTCGAAGGCAAGAAAGCACATCAATCCACATCCATTTGCCGTTATCTTGGAAAGGAGTTTGGATTGGCAGGAGAAAATAATTGGGAAAGCCTACAAATAGATGCCACCGCAGACACGCTAGTCGACTTGCGTATAGGTATGAACAAATTATATTAATAGTTTTGAATATAATAATAATATACAACATGAATTATGACTTTGCAAATAATTATTTTTTGCAGCTATTAAAGATGCTCTGCGGGCCGACGAAGCGACTAAAGTACAGAAAAAAGAAAAGCTCATGAAAGAAACTATACCGTTTTATCTGACACGACTAGATAAGCAAGTTGAAGAGAATGGAGGTTATTTTGTCAACAAAAAGGTATTGTTTAGAGAAATATCGGTATTATAAAAAATAGTGAGATTTTAACAGTACTTCGATTTTAAGTTTTAGTTTTGATAAAATCTTGTCTACACATTTTAGGACAGTTGTCACGATTTGATTTCAGATTACGAGTAAATGTCTAATAGAGCGCAAAACTGGTATATAAAAATATTTTTAAATGTTATATTCCATAATAGATTGTATTAATGAATGCTTTATTAATGAGGATTTAGGAGTAATATGAAAATAGCAACTTATTTTCAGAAATATTATTAAAAATCTAACATTGCATTAGCGTCGTGAGAGGGAAATTCTTCATATAAAGTGAAATAGTTAATTATCTGGTAGATTGTTTTTTATTTCACATAAGTTTCAAATTCTGACAAGAATCATGACTAACTGATATTTTTTCAGCTTTCTTGGGCAGATCTATATTTTGCAGCATTTGCTGAAGTATGCATTGGCATACTAGAGACAGATTTCGTCGCTGATTACCCTAATCTGAAATATTTGGTGGATAAAGTATGGAATCTACCTAACATCAAAACTTGGAGAGCTAAACGACCAAAGACTTCTAAATAAATGAATTTTTAATAAATGAATATTACTGTTTTTTATTAACCTCTTCAGACCTGATTTATTTCCTACTTTAAATTTGTTTTCTTTATAAAACTTTTTTATGTAATCAATCAAAGAACTTAATAAGGTTTTTTGGCATTTCTGTTTTTTTACACTTTGAGAAAAATGTTGGGCATTATTATGTCCATCCATAATTATGTCTCAATAGTTGCAATACTTCACATGTAACAAAACACTTGTGTTACAAGTTTTTATTTAGAAAAATGGATGGAAAATAAGAGTAACTGTCAAGATTTTACATTGACATATTATATATTTGCATAAATTTACAAATTGCAAATATATTGCAATTGGCGGGGAGTGTGAATGGCGTGGAGTGTGAAAAGCGGGGAGAGGTGGAGAAATGACGGCAAGTACGAGGGGAAGTGAGAGCGAATGATGGAGAGCGGCAGGAAGTGCGAATTGGGGAAAGGGCTGCTTAGAGCAGCGAGAAGAAATGTGGGATAGGCGATGAGTGCGAGGAGTGGCTGGGATTTCCAAGGAGAGGCGAGGAGTACACGGAGTTGCATTGAGCGCGAAGAGAGTTAAGGAGAGGAAGCTGAAATATGACGGAGGGTGCGTGGATGAGAAGCAGGGGATACGAAGAGTGGTTAGGAGTGCGAGGATTGGCAGCCAGTGGCGAAAGTGGCCGGGCGGCACGTAGTGCTGGAAGGCCCGCTTTAAGATGCGATCAACGCCAGTCAGCCAGCTGACGGCGGAGCATCCCAGCCTGCCCACCATCGTCACTCTCCCCTCCCTTCCCAACCGCCGATGCGCCCCTAGCAGGGAAGGGGGTGGGGCGGGGCGGGGCGCCGGCTGGTGATATGGCGGAGCGGTTCTGACGGGAATTCAATATCAGTTACAAAAGAGCTGGATTCCCTGCGGATTTTTACATTTTTCCAATAATACGTGCTAGCATACCTTTTTCTTATTTCCACGCCCGATGCGTAAGTTAGTAATATGGATTTCTTTGACTATAAATGAACTGCAACTTATACGATCGCAAAACTTCCTTCGGGTCCTTTGGTGTCGTCCTGTTCATTGTGTGAGAGTAATATTAAAGAAATCATTACACTCAAAGGAAAAATTAAAGCGAAATAAAGACAGATAATTTGCGAAAGAAATATATACCATAACACGGACCCAGTTTCTACAGTTTGGACTACAAACAATAAAACAACCTGAAATTATATTATTGTAAACTTCCATAAATACATTCGTTGCGTGCGAAAAGTGGGGAGAGGTGGGGAAATGACGGCAAGTACGAGGAGAAGTGGGAGCGAGTGATGGAGAGTGGCAGGAAGGGCGAATGGGGGAAGGGGGCTGTTTAGAGCAGCGAGGAGAAATTTGGGAATGGCGAGGAGTGGTTGGGAGTTCCAAGCGTTCCACGTAGCGTGTCTTTGAGTGTCACACACGCACATGGAGGCTATCTATTTATTAAAGGAAATCTTAAACCTTTAAGAAAACGTATGTGTTACTACAGAACACATAGTGCTATATTTAATCTATTTTTGTTACACAAATTGTTTGCATAGTACGCAATAAATTCAGTGACTAAATAATTTCTTAAATATAAATACTTACATTACAGTGGTCTCTAATTGAAAAAAATCAAAATAAAAAATTAAATTGAAGACTAAGTTAAGTTCATTACGTTACGCATTCAGAATTCTGTCTAGCTCGTTCGCAGCTTCGTACAGCTCGCTGCATCTATTTTGCGCATAAACATTATGTCAGATGCGGCATAACACTATGATAAAACTCATCCCTAGTTCCTAGACATTTAGATCGCAAAATTAAAACACTATATTCAATACCCAGAAATGTTTTGTGGAAATAAAAACTATGATGTTCTCGTAAATGGAATTAGGTAATTAGGAAGGTAAAGAGGGCATTATTTTCACTAACCAAGCTCAACTTGTCCGTTTCGTTTCGAGTTGCCAGAAAATGCTAACATCAATACCCATAAGCCTGAACCCAAATAACTAAAAATTATAAAACTAAAAATACTGATGGCTGATGAACTTTGTGAGAAAATCAAAAGAGGTTATGATTCTCAATACGATTGAGATAATGTGGGCACAAATATGTTTCATAATTTTCAAATTGTCTCGTCATTCTAGGGCTTCAATCCAACACCATCATGAAAGTAGAATTTGACAAATCCTTGCTGGGAATGCTTGGAATTCTGTTCAATGTTCTCTCCATGTTTCATTGCAAATTCCTTTTCCATGAACGCTGTATAGCTTTGCTCAACAGAAACATGCATTTTCAGATATATCGGAAATTGAATCGAGAAACCTTTATATCGAATCACCCGATATACAGGTCATAAAGTAAAGCTGTTACCCAATATTTCGATAACGATAAACCAATAAAGGCAAATTACAATAATTTAGAATTTCTGATCCTTGTCTTGGACACAAATATCAGTGAGAAATCTTTTGACCAAACATTTAATGTTCGTTATCCAGTGATGACTACAATCCCAATAGTAATTGCCAACTTTTCACATATTTTCCTACCACGCTACTCTTACACGTTACGTATAATTTGCAAATAATCTAACAATGTATTTGTTCACAAATTCCTTGAGAAACTTCAATGTTCACGCATCTGTCAATTATTTATGATGATGATTTTTGTACTCAAACAAAAAAAAATTACATTTGAATTTAAAAAAATTGATAATGTAATAAATCTGGTAATAAATAATAGAAACTTGTCAACTTAGATTTTCCATGTAATAAAAATGTCCCGGATGGAAAATGTTATCTTGGTAAATAATTTAACAAATGTTATGAATCACATTTTTTTCATAAACTTCTTTCTCTTAATCAAATTTATACGCAAATTTAATTTTAAAAAAACTATATTTTCATGACATTAAATGATGCTACTCTTGTACTTTATGAGATCTGGAGTTCTATCCGTGCCTAAGAGAGCTCTTTTTGAACTTTTATGAAGAAGGGTGCCTTGATTGGTTTCCTGACACTGACATGGTACAAGTGAAAGACAAGTGAGAATAAACTGGACAGAGAAAACACAATCTAAATTTGTTTAAGGCCAAGAATGGAATAAAATTTAAAGAAATAAAAGTAGAACTAGTTAGCAAATGGCCATTAAATGAATTAGAAACTAGAGTTGAACAGATCTGAGCACGTAGGAAATTAATGGTTGTTTTGTGTTAAATAGTATGAATGTGATGTTTTATATTCATTCCATAATAGTAATAGTAAATATTTATGGTCTTATGTCAGCTTAAAATACAGGTCGAACGTAACATTGCCCCGAAGACGATAGTATTTTGACAATATATAGGGAAGAGCATTGTTGCGCTACAGTTACTAGCAATAATTTTGGTGTTATTATTTTAGAAGTCTAATAATTAAAATATGTCTCCATTGATCCTAAATTCCGTCAATAAAGACTCTCTTTCTCACTCTTTTAATCATATTAGAAAAATAAAACCCTGAGGTATCGAGAATTGTGATTCAGTGTTTCATAAGATTTTTATTTAAGCCAAAAACGAAAAATTAACTGAGCTAGCCAATAATAATAGAAAGAAGAGAGAGATGGAAATAATGTTTCAATGTACTTGTATACATTTTAATTATCAAATTGATTGATGAAATAAGGTTTCATGAGAAGTAGATGTCAATAATTCCATCGTTTCAATTTCAATCAAACTTTCACCTCACTTTTGATAAAGAATCGTATTTTGAGGCCACCCTATAACTTCGGGGTTTGCGTTGAGAGGGAGGTGGGTCGGCTGCGGCCACCGGAGCGCCGAGGTCCATCGTTGCGCATACTGTGCGCTTCGCACTTCAACGGCCTCGGGGCGGCGGCGTTAAGGCCACCAGGCTTGTCTGCCCTTCCGCCCGCTCCGCAGCTCCAACTCAATCCCCCCCTTCCGCCCCGCCCCACCCCAACCTGCCCTGCCCCCCCACCCACCCCGCTCCGCTCCGCCCGCTCCGCCCCGCCCCGCCCGCCCGCCCAGCTCCGCCCCCCCCGCTCCGCTCCGCCCGTCCGACCCCGCTCCGACCCAACGCTCTCCGCGGTCCGCACGCTTCTTGCCCACTCTCCGCTCCGAACCCCGCCCGACAAGTTCCACTTCCACTCAGCTTCCTATGCTCCCCTCTCCACTTCTCGCCTCGTCCCATTCTGCTTCTCCCATCATCCCAACCAGTCTCCGTTTCCGGAGAGTCTCCGATACCTCTCACGCCTCGCCTCGCATTAGTCTCTCTCCACTTCTGCTTCCCTACGCTGCCCTCCACGCCTCTTGAACACTCTTCCCACTTCCGTCTCTCTCCGGTTTCCCATTCTGTTCCCGAGTCTACCTAGTGTCCTCTCCTCACTTCGCCCCATCCCACGAGTGTTTTATTGACCTCGGACGTACCAACAGCTCAAGTCCCGTAAGGTGTAGGGGCGTAAGGTTAAGTTCCCGCAAGTGTAGTTCATGATTCACGTGAGTGTAGTGCAAGTGGCGGTGATTTTCCCCGCTGGGTTGCGAGTTCCGCGCCGACCTCCATCGTAGCTATCGGAGCTTTCCCCACGTCAGTCCCCCCCCCACTCCACGTGTCCCTCACCGTCCGAGTGCCTTCTCCCCCTTCTCCCATCCCTTTCCTTCCGGATCTTGCCCTGCCTTACCTGGCACCGCACTTCCCCTCCCCCATCCCCCTCCCATGCCGCCACTTCTCGCTGCACTGCGCGCGTCTCCCTCAGAGGCGCAGCGGAGCGCGCGTTTTGCTCTTCACAAAGTGCTCACAGCCGCCGCCGGCGAGGGACGGCGGGCGCCGGCCGGCCACGGGCGCCTCGCGCCGGCGGTGCATCCCTCGCCACCCCTTCCGCGCGGCGCGCTGCTTTTTTGTTTTGTTTTTTGTTTTATTTCGTTTCGTTTCGCAGCACCAGTCGCTACCACGCACGCTCCCTGAGGCTCGCTGTCCTCGCCTGGCGTAAATGGCTCGGCGAACCTGGATTCATTTA